CTACCACTACCACTACCACTACCACTACCACTACCACCTTCTTTGATCCACCTCCATGCATCCCCACCTTGGAGATTCCAAACCACAATTTATTAGACGAACACACATTTGACATGATCAGGCCGTTTTTTTATCGTTTTTGGTTAGTTATGGCAAAGTTACGTCTGGGCTTTTGCAATCCCAGATGCTAGGAAGGGACACCGTGAGAGGTGGATAAGTGGGGTTTGGTGAATGCAGTTGCATGAAAGCAAGGTGGACCATCATTTTGAACTGGGTCCCCCCTGTTCCGACATCGGCATTGGTTTGTTTTTGAACTGGTAAGTTTCACCCAATGCCATAGTTGGTGCCATGGCGTTTGGAGTCCATACCATGTGGATGAAGGATGCCACTCATTTCTGGACAAACCCAATGATGTGAGACTTGGTAGACACACCACTTCGTGGCAAGACGCGGTATACTCCCACTGGTGGTACACTCCCACAGGATGCTGAGCAATCGAGAGAGTTTCGACGAGGCGCGATGTATGGAGATTGGTTCGTTCGCGATGTATGGAGATAGTGGGTCTGGTAGTTAGTCTATTCTGTTCATTCTTGGTGGGAAAAGACTAGGGTGCCCAGGGTTTTGACGCACTGCCATGTATTCTTCAGTCATTGACCTGGCCATATCTAGGGATCCTGTCGTATCTTCTCAGAAGGTGAGCAGGAAGACACTGTTATGTAGGTGCCAGGAGGGTACTGGGATCCTTAGGGATAAGAGGCTACTGGGCGACCAAAAAAACAACAGGCCACCATGAAGTAGGTATGGCGGGGCCAACAGCCAACGTCTCCTTGATTCAACTCGGAGAATGGTTTGGAATGCACTCGACATGTTTGGACGAAGTCCAGTCTAAGTGACGCACAAACGCTTCAAATGGCGCCAGCTGGAATCCGAGTAGATGCTGCTGCCTTCGTTGCGGCAGGAGGAGTTTTAACAAAATCACACACCAATCCCTTCCAAAGAAAATTGCGGAGTAAACTGAGTACCAGGATCATCCAATGGGTGTCCAATAGACTACCCTACCCTACTTACAGGTCTCCATTGGGCACCCGTTGGAAGTGCTAGGTAAACACCTTGGTTGATAGCTTTTAGACCTTTAGACCTGCCAGTCACAGTTAGCAACGTGCGCAGCAAGCTGTGCGCTTACGCAGTCACACGTGCAACTCCGGGTACTTCCGGTCGACTGGAACAACCGGGACGAGAGAGTTCCCTGCGGCCCCGGTCAGGTTTCAGTGAAGATGATTTAGCCGCCGGGGGACCCAGAGGATGGTGAAAAAGCACCATCCCTACAGATCCCAATACCTAACCTGAGGTACGGTGAGCAGGAAGACACTGTTATGTAGGTGCCAGGAGGGTCCAGTCGTACCTGGGCTGGTAGATTGTATGTCCAAAGGCATCAGATGGTCGTTCAGCAGAAGGGGTCACCTTCTCCAGGTAGGAGAATACCCCACACTTGGGTATATATTGCGATGTGTAGTCTTGTATCCTTTGTAAAGGTGGGAATCATATTCTCAAACTTGGGTTGGATGCTGCGACGTGCATGACTGACCTTCATTTTGTTGGCTGACTGAATGAACTGTGCACCTTTTGTTCGGGATAATGATCCTATAGATCCTATCTCCCATCAGACTTCAAGCTTTCTTGTTTCACTGGTCAGTATACATAGTGAGGCTTGCTGACCCTTAACCTCCCAAAAAGGAACGCAGGTCCGTGCAGTTCCCTTCAGAAGACAAGTGTCCTTCACAAACGATGCAGCTGTTGCTATCCACTTCAGATGTTGTTATCTATATTAGTCAATATATTATAATATCTATTTATATTGATGTATGTGCTTTTGTACAAAGCAATCGCTTACTGACTACTTGATGATTGCTCCAAAGAATAGAGAACCCGTTTTGCCCTCAAAACAAACATACGTGGATTTGAACGACTTACAGAGGCCATGAGGCTGGAACTGGGGAGATGTTTGTTTTACTCATGATGAACTATGATGAGAGTCATAAACTTGACTACAGTAGCTTCGTATTCGGATGAATCTATCATATATAATGCGTGATTCCAGGGATCATCTGGCCTTCCTTTTCATGTTGAAGGCATGAGCAAGGTAGTGGGTCAAGGTACCATCCATAGAGAGCAGAATCATTTTGGAATGATTTTGCAAGAGGTTCACGCATGAGAGAAATACCATGAAATACATTCATGTGTTCACCCAGAGGGCATTTATCCTTGGCCATTCCTGTGCCGGACATGGATTGGAAGTTTCACGATGTCAAGAACATATTCCACAGTGTAAATGACATAGTGGAATACGATTCAGAATCTATGTGGAAGGTTGTATTATACAATAAAAATAATTGGGCACCATACGCCACCGTGTTTCACCTTTTCCAGCTGTGTTCCCCAACATCTTTGCTGTCGAGCCGGTCGACTTCAAGACGGGACGTTGACGCCATCCGACGACCGGGCCACGGGTCAACAAAAGCCTAGGTGGCGTGTGAACAGATTTTCCGCTCGATGGAGATGGAGCGCTTGCCATTGTCAGAGGGCCGAGTCTTCCTTTTTGGGGGTCTAGGTTGGCCATCGCTAGTAGGTTGGAAGCCATCGCTATTAGGTTCCTTAAGGGTTTTTTTCTATCCCTAGGGCTCCAAGTACCTTCTGAGAAGGTGTTTAGGGTGGGTTTAGAGGGTCCAGATACCTTCTGAGAAGGTACTTGGAGCCCTAGGATATACTATTCAGTGAGGGGTTCCTCCTTCCTCGTTCCCGTGGGAGACCACGTGGCAGACAAGCGCACCGAATCTGCGTGCCTTCAGAGCATCGTTCTGGATTTGGTGGGTCTCCGTGAAACAAAGCCCAAAGGCTCAGTGGTTCAAAGTAGGCCCTACTTCACATCAAGGATTCTCATTTTAGGCCGAGGATTCTCATTTTGTACTGAACCTGGTCATGCAAAAGTTCAGAGATATTCTTCACCCAAACGCTCCGCGAAAAAAACGCCGCCTTCAAACCTGGGGATTGGTGAAATCCCAGACCCGAGGATTTGGGGCCGAACAGGGTGCGTTTGTTGAACATGCATTCACGAGCGACCATGATGATCGAGGGTCACTGTTCCTGGTTTACTTAATATGACTCATATTTATTGATTTGTTATTTTCCTCTGGGTGTTTCCCGGCTCCTTAAGTAAATCCAAGTTTCTTTGGGGCTGTTCCAACTGGAAACCGGAGCTTGGATCCAGCTGAAGTGTAGTGAGTTTGAATGGGTAGAGTGATGCAGGTCGGGACGACCCAACGGACCCATGAGAGGTCCGGTGGTGCCACCGGTCCTCCCCATTGAAGGTTCGAGTTACTGTGCGGCCTGGGTCACACCGAAATGGAGGCCGGTTTCGTTCGTGGCGTCGTTGCTGAACGTCTCATCGAAAACCCCGTTCGATGGAGGCCGCGTTGGTGGAACGACTTAGGCAAAGGGAGATGGTCCACCCCGCAGTGGAACTTTCGTACATCATTCATTGAGGAAATGACTTCTGATGGACTTCTGGAATGGCTTCTGACGGAATGGTGGTCATGATCCATTCTCAACCCGTAGCTTTCCAAGATCAAGATGGTTGACCTGGTTTTGTAGTGCAAAAGCCTGATTAAGTCATAATACAGTTAAACTCCAGCAGTCACAAAGGGGTGCTTAATGGAGGTTAGGGGTGCCCAGAACATCCACTCACTCAAGGACTAACAACCACCCCTGGCTGTGACTCCTGGCTGTCAATGGTTCTTTGAACGACGAACATCAGCTTCTTGCGCCAGGCGAGAGTGATGGAGACGCAGTTGCTGCCGCTCCTCCCTTCCACCAAGGCGGCGGTTCCGGCACCGCGGTACTGTGCAGAGGTATTCAGGAGGAATGCTCCCGCAGCTCCGCACATACCCCGCGTCCTGTTCAGAGGTCCACCGCTTTCGGAATCGGGCCATGTCGGAGATGGCGTCGACTTGACTGTCCCCCCAAAAAAGCTCCCATCCTACAAGCTTGTCAGGTATTTAAAGCCTTAGGGTGGAATGGTTTTGTTTTAATTTGTTTTTCTCTCTTCACAAAGCTGAATTACAAAGCTGGCTCTTCATGTTTCCGGCTTTGACCGAAGCAAACAAGCAGGAGAAGCCAGATGTGGTCCGACCCCCCCTGGCCGCGACCGGGCTAAAGCCGAGACCGCCAGGATGGAACCGTGAGTTGTCAAGAGCTTCTGAAGTTTCTGGCAGGGAGCGCCAAGGACGCCTGGACACCGTGGCGTTGGAACAGGGGGAACCAGGGGGAAGCACGGACACTGGACAGTGGCTGAAGGTAGACCGGTTAAGAAACTGGTACCGGCGTCGACTCCTCGTCTTTCCCAGATGGTGTCGGCCCGTGAATCACGTATACTGTGTTCCAGATGCGACTTGTGTGAAGAGTTTGTATGACTGTTGGAACAGGATCCTGATATGTTGTGTGTGCTTTTAGCTCAGGAAGAGCGTGGGCAAACACCAAAGCCAGACACTCCATCTATTTTCATCTATTTTCCACATATCACACCAACCCCTTCATTCCACCTGTCAGTGAGTCAATGTACTGTGCAAATTATCGGTTTCATGGAGAGTCTGTTTTCAAGGACTGCACATATCCCATACACTCCATGGGACTGCCATAGGACTGCCGCCCCATTGACCCCTCAAAGCACCACCCCTGGCCGTTTTGAAGGCAGTCCGGACTGGCAGTCCCAGGTCCAGGTCGTGTCTGGGTATTCCAACCAACTCCGATGTCGCCGATTCGATCGATTCCTTTCAATCGCTGAGGCAGAGCCGAGGAGGTCGGGACGCCAAGGACTTCGCGTCCCCGACGTTCCACAAATGGAAAAGACACAACGAAACACAACACAAAATGTGTTTTGGGGGTTGAATCCATGTCATGTGTGCACATGCGTGTAAAAGACTGGTGGCACCAATTCTCACATGATTTGATGTCCAAATTTAAGGAACTTCCTGGAGAAGCTTTTGGGGAGTAACATCAGTTGTGAACATGCCAAAATTTTTGGCGCCACTTGATTCTATATGTTCCAGCTCTAACAGTTAGATCTTAACATCTTCGATCCCTCTGCCATCCTTTTCCCTCCGCGTCTCCCATTCAAGGAGTCATTTTCGGTCGTCAAGTGCCACTTTCTCCCGCCGGAACCGTGCTACGACGCACGCCGCCCAGGAAGCCCTCCTGAGACTGGCGAGCGGCGGAGCTCCGTGAACGTTCCAGAAACCAGGTGGTCAGGTTCAGTAAAGAAGATCCGCCAGGTTCATATGGATGGGATCTTTTAGAACGCCCTGAATTCGTACTCTGAAAATATGGATGTGTAGAGAAGTGTAGACATAGTGAGACCCTTCAATATCTTCAATCAAGGGATTTTTGGTCCGTTCCAGGTATTTGGCTGCGAGGAGATCCCTAGTCATTAGGCCCAGACTAGTCTACCATCTCCATATCACGATCAAAACGATCTGACAGTAATTAGAGCCTTCATGTTGGCCTTTTTACCTTCTTTTTTCCGAATCGCCCAACCTGGTGCCGGCGCGAAGCGGAACGGGTCGAATTCCCTTCCACGCGTATCGCGGCGCTTATCGGCGCGAAAAGCACCGCGCACGGCGTGGGCTGAGAGTGGAGGCCTTTCTCGGCCAAGAAACCATCGCAAAGGCGGAAATGAAGAGCAAATGTCAGCAATCCGGACACAACAATTAGCAGCAGCAACAACAGCGACAGCAGCAATTATACGTGTTATATTTATATTCGATGTAAACTTCTTATTCTAGAAGACCCTGCTTCTGGTCCTAGTTACTTGTTGGAAGTTGAAGGGACTCCATCTGTATTTATGTTAAATCAGGTTCCCAAGGAAGTTCAGGCATGTGTGCTTTGTTAACAAGGCGTTCAGGTAGCCTCCCGTTAGGAAGCTGCCATGTGGTTGAACTCGCAGAGAGTGTCGAGCGAAATGCATGTCGACGTCGAAATGAGAGGAACTGGCATCTGGAGGATGATCATGTAAAATGTTCTCACCCAGACGCTCCATTCACAGCCGCATTTGAGACCCCAGACCCCTCCATATGAGGGTCCATGAGCGTCTGGGTCAAGCATTTGATCCAGAGTGATCCAAACAACGCTGTGCAGTCGAATACACTTGGAACCGACGACGCAGAGGGTTTTTCTATCGTTTGGGTGGTTTCGTTGTATGCATTTAACCTGGCCAGTGGGCTGCCGCTCGCTTTCGGACCAGCGCGCCGTAAAAGCGCTTTCGTGTCGCTGAAGGCGACGCGCTGCCGCACTTCTCGAGTACTCCGAGACCGGCGCGCTGAAGTTCCAAGCGTGCTGTCACACGTGTTCGGTGGATCGGTTTTTTTCGCAGGCCAGCCGCCGAAAGGAAGGAGATGGGAAGAGGATGGAAGAGGAGCTGAATTCTGTGAGAAGATGCTCTGAAAGAGGCCTGGCACCATTCCTGTGAGGAACTAGATCCCAGTCATAACCTCCGTTTTTGGTAGGCAGAGACCATGTTTGGGGTAGTTGGTGGTAACTCCAAACTAGGGGTCAGACAGAAACAAGGCGGAATCTATTGAATCCAGACGAATTTTCGCGATAGTTGCTCTTCCAACTTGAACCTGTTCGGTTTCGGTTCCGCGGCTGGCCTGTCCCTTGGATTCTTGGAGACGCTGGAGGATTTGAAACCAGCAGAAAAAAATGCCAGCGCCGGCGGGTCATGCGCGTGCCGCAGCGTGTGGAGCCGGCCAAGCGGCATGGAGCCCTTAGCCCGGAGACAAAACCGAGCTTCAAAGAACCTAGAGAACCTACTAGCGATGGCTCCAACATGCTCCAACCTAAGAGCGATGGCCTCCAACGTAAGAGCGATTGGCCTACAACGTACTAGCGATGGCCTCCAACCCATACTGTGTATGGATGGAGATCCTGAAATTGGCTTTTTGGATTGATGTGAGCCGTTTTTCGACTTTCGAGTCAAAGGAGGGAGGTTACTAGACAAGCAGCAGGGGTTAGTGGTACGGTAGAATGACCAGAGTTGCCAGAGTTGCCAGACCACGTGGGAGAGTGGGCATTTTCCAGGGTTTACAAAGCCACCACATGTGTCCAATTTGGAGCTCTCTTCGACCCGAAGCCTCGGTAGATCGACCCGAAGACTCGGCCGGCGGCGGTGACCTCGTAGCGCAAAGATGGCCTATACATTCACCACCCAAAACCCATACACTCCATGAGACTGCCATATACGTTGACCCCCCAAAACCACCCCTGGGCTGTTTCTCGGCAGTCCGGACTGGCACATACGGAGTGTCTGGGAAAGCCTATACTATCTATACCTTCCATGTAGGCCATTTTTGCAGTCCCATGGAGACTTTGGGGTTGGGCAGCCAGAAGCCCGTAGTCGGACGTTCGGTCGATCGACCGATGGTTCCATCGCATGAAATTCAGACCTGCAAAGGCTTGGCCCGGTCCAACAAAGGTTATGAGACCGTAAATAGGACCCGTCACCTGGGGTACCGATATATGGGAGAGTCGAACGTTCGGGTTCTGACCCACCTCTGTTGGGTTAGCATCTCCCCAAATTGTACGCGTTTTTTGAACGGTGGAGAGTCAGTCCAACCCCTGCTGGCGGAGGGCCCCTACTGAGAAGGAGTCTTAGGGTTCCATTGTTGACTTTAGGGCTCCAGTTGTACCTTCAAAGCTGGGTCCAGTCAGAACCGGAGGAGGTACGTCTCCTTCGAGCCCCAAAAAAAGTGATCGACTCCCAAAGGGGCGGAGCAGGTGAAGATCACGCTTCCCAAGAAATCCAGTCACCCCGAGCTCCCGAACTCCCGAGCTCCCGAACTCCGCTCCCGACTCCGGGACGCCAGTATAGCGCGTGTGGCGCGCCAGGGCAGTGCAGAAGAACAAGATCTTGCGGAACGTGGTCCGGAGACTCGGGACGGACCGGAAGACGGTCCCACGGTTGTTCTGGTCCGGTCGGCAGCTCGGCCGCGTTTATGACCCGTTTAGGACCGGTATTGGCAGGAGAACCGTTGGGGAGCACCGGCAAAAACCTTGGGATTGGTGACACTCCAGTGAACTAAGAGCAAAGGGAAAAAGGTTGACCTTAACGTTCGGAAACGGCTCGGGAGTCAGTTTTGGTCACCTAGACCTATAACATCCTATAGCTGATGTTGTTTGGACGGGATTGGATAGACATGGCTATAGACACATTCGGCAAAATTGAGGTTAGCAGGAGCAAGTCTTACTGGATATTTTGACCTGAAAAGTGCAAGCCAACCTTTGACAGGAGGACCTTGTTGTCTTTTGTTCTTGTGCTAATTAGTACAACGGACCAGCGAAGACTGGATAAAGAACATGATGATCTAAATCTGGATTCTGAACGGAATATAATGGATACATGCAATATCATGCAATACATGCTGACTGTTTTTGCTCTACCATGGCGTCTTTTCAACTCTTGACCTAATCTTTGCCTACTGAATGTCCGACTATGTCCATATCTTATAATTTACTGTACTCCATGCATCAGTGGAGAACTCCTATTTTCACGCACGGTGGTTGGATGTAAGGTCACTCACTTCTGGGTGTGAAGGTTCATGTCCTCTTTTCTCCCCCACGTACACACAGTCAGATCATGAGTCAGACCAGCTTTGTTCATCTTGGGTGCAGGAATGTTCACCCATCTCACACGCATAGTGACCATGAATTCTTCCATACCAACAGAGGTAGGTCAGAACCCGAACGTTCGACTATCCCAGTTCGGTACCCCAGGTGACGGGTCCTAGTTCAGGTCTAACCTCTCTTGGTACCTGCACTCTCAGTCAGACCACCGTCGTCCGGTTGCCTTCGCGTCGCCTCCGTCACCGCGTTGCGACACGACGACTCGTCAGGTCACCAGCGTCCGGCGCGCCTCGCCCAGCCTGGCGGTACAAGCCAGCGAGGAGCACGTGTCCGGGTCCGAAGGTGTCGGAGTGAGGGCCGACACAGGTACCGGACTTCGCATGAAGAGAGGGTGAGCATCAGCTGGAGAAGCTAAGGAGGCCCTAAGGATCCACGTGCCCTTTGAGAAGGTGAGCAGGGGAGACACTGTAGCTGCCAGGAGGGCTCAGAAGGTAGGACATGGATCATGGAGCGAAGGCCGTTGAGCATTTGATACTTTGGATTGGAGGAACGGGTCACATGCTCCTAGAGCATCCTCATCATCATCATCATCATCATCAACACCTCTATTTTGGACCACCAACCACCCAGAATATGCTCTTGCTCAACACAGAAAAACAACACACAAATGTTTTGGCCCTGCTGTCCGCCGCGGTCTGCCTGGCCGGGCATCGGTTTTAACATGCGTTGAACGCAAAAACCTTTGGATTTTTTCACAGACGTCAGGACTGAGTCATGGCCATCACCCAGATTAATACAGGATCAATTGTTTTGCCCTACGAATCCTTGGGCCCTCCATGGCAAGGTTCGGAGAAAAAAACCCTTCGCGCGGGTGCGGACCCGAACCAGGCCCCGGATTCTTAGGGTGTGAAGATTCGGACCCCAAAGGTGGCTGTGGGGGTCATGCATGGGACTGGGAGAAAAAGAGAGAGAGAGAGAGGGAGAGATTTAGAGATTTGACAGGTAGAACACATTTTCACGCCATCACATCAACTATAGGGCTCCACGTACCTTCGTTTCGAAGGTGTTTGGGGTGGGTTTAGAGGATCAAAATACCTTCTGAGGAGCTACGACTGGAGCTTTGGGAGGGTTTTACAGATGCAGAGTCGCGTGCTGCGTGCGGAGAGACGTCGAACAGAGTCCCGGGAGACCGGTAAGGAGGGGTTCGGAAGATCGCTGTTCACCCGGTTCGAGTGATTCCATGCGGGGATGGGTTCGTTCACATGGGGGGTGCCGCTGTTCACCATACAATAGCATGACCTGACGTTGGTAGGTCAAGCAAGGTCTCATGGTGGTTTTGACCCACAGCCATGCAATTTAGGAGCACATTCATTGTTGGCTGGAAAAAGGAGAACGGGAATGACATACTGGAATGCTGAATCATGTTAAAGCCCCGAGCCAACAAAGCTTTTTACAACGGCAGAAGCGCCTTTTTAGACATATAACCCTGGGAGTCCAGAACGATGTTCAAAGTGGTCTTGAGGTAACCGGAAAAAGGATTTCCTTTACTTCGGTGGTGCACATGAACTTCAAGTGAACAAACACATGTCGACAGGTGATTTGAGTCCCACCTGGCGTTTTTTTGCGGGTAAAGAGGCACCTTGACCTATGCGACCCAGTGAAGCAGTGGATTCTTCTGCTGCAAAAAAGCTAAGCTTTGGATTAGTGGGCAAAAAAATACATCGACAAACACATCAAACAACCAGTGGGGTGGATTTTTCGGGGCTCAGCCGCTTTCTATCGCGATGGCGCACCATACCCAGACACTCCATGTGTGCTATATATGCCTACATGGAGTGTATGGGATACTGTAGGGAGATGGCCAGATTCGCCTGGCGAACTTCCAGTCGCTCTTCGACCGTGCCCAGACGTGCGCACGTCGTTTGGGGCTCCCAGGCTCCCGTCCGTGCGCGCAGGACTTGCAGTTGAGGCTTTGGGATCTCCGTGCCGGGCTGAAGGCGCCCGCCATGGCGGCTGGGGGAGCCTAGGGGCAGGGCGTGAGCTGCATGGCTGACGTGCCCGGTGCGTTGGAGAGATCGAATGGCACTGAAGGTCGAAACGAACCCACCGGCCGCCGTGTCCCTTAAATCGAACGGCAGTGACTTCCGGGTTCGACCCAAAGGCGGACGCTCATCCTGAACCGAGCCAACAGCTTTGGAACGCACAGCAATTGCTTCAGGTCGACCGGAAAAACCGGTGGTTGGTGCGGCGGCTATCGGCGGCTATTGTCAATGCATTGGTTGTATGTCAGGACGTGAATCAATGCGGCGCCGGTGCTTTCCTTTGCCTTCCTGCCGTGGTTTGTCCAGTTGGAGACCAATCCTCATATGGTGGCTTGCGGGGAACGCAAAGGAGAACGTCATGCTTTTGATTTGAAGAGAGGGGGAGAGTAGTGGGGGAGCTTTTTGAAGCCCCGTCTTCCTGGAACCCATTCCGTTCAACATCCCTTCCTTCGGTGTTTTTTTTCTGCTGGGTTTGGGTGTGACGGACACCTGAACACTTTCAGGATCGTTTGGAGAATCAACCGAATAAACGTTGATAAACCATGATCAACGACGAAATGTGAAAAAGTGACCTGTGGTTTAAACGTATATCTTAAGAATCCTTGACCCTCCAGTCGCAACGGACCTTCTCCGCTGACCCCTGTTCACCCTGTTCACCCCCGGTTCACCTCCGGGACCCCGAGGTACGACTTGAACTGCCAAGAACAGCTTCATGAAACGAAGGTACGACTGGAGCCCGGGTCAAACCCTGTTTGCCCCCAAACCCGCGGGCTCGAAAACCAACCAACAAGACGAAGGGCTGTCGGCCTGTCTCAAAGCCCGATGTGTTGCAAAATTGGGTCCCAGATTCATAGGGTGTGAACTCCGACCCAGCAAAATGACTCATTTAACCTGTGGGTCATGGCGCTGGGACAGAGACCAAACCCGCTCCATACCCGGGGGCCCCACAAACCATCGAATTCGCCACCAAATGGGCCGACACTCCATGCGCTACACTCCATGGGACTGGCATAGTTACATTGACCCCCCTGAAATCAACAACTTTTGGGCCGTTTCTGGGTAAATCTATGTCAGTTTGTTAGTCCCATGCAGTGGATTGTTGGGGGTCGAAGCAATCGGTTTGGCACCGGGCTGGTGGGCTGGGAACTCACGGGGTCGCGTTTGGGCAGGGCCATCCCGCGACCCAAGAGGTTGGAGGCCATCGCTCTGAGGTTGGAAGCCATCTCTCTTTAGGTTGGAGGCCATCGCTCTGAGGTTGGAAGCCATCTCTCTTTAGGTTGGAGGCCATCACTAGTAGCAAGAAAGGTACCAGTACACATCGTTGGTTTTCCCCAAACTGTCGTTACCGCTGAGGTGCGCGGAGGGCCCAATCAGCTCATTTGCGTGGACGTGCCGAAGGAGCGAAGGGCGCCATTTGATTTGTATAGGGTTTCTAGCACCTGGAGTGGATTTCTTCTTGTTTGAGATTCCCCAAAGATTAGGGTAGTACTCGGTAGTAGAATAGTTTGCTAGTTGATGGATATATAATTCTTAATGGATCTTTCTTCTGGAGCATGATGTAAGCCGCTTCTGGAGTGATTGCCGTTGCCAGAGGGATATCGGAGTGGCCACCAACCCAGCCAAAAGAAGTGGCGTCATTTTCAATTGCCACTGGATACCACAAAATAGATGAACATAGCAAAAGCCAGCACCCTCCAACGGGTGTGATCAAATCTTTTAGTCAAGCTCTGAAGATGGAGAGCGAGCTTTGGGATCTTAATCCACCGCTCCTGTTTTGAACGAGAGGGACTAAGCCCATTCCTTAGTCTATGTGACGTTGACATCGATCTTCTTGCGGTAAGACCAAGGAAATATATGAGGTTTTGGTGGAGATAGGGGTGTATCATGGTGACCTCCTTTAGAAAACACATGGACACTGACAAAGAAGAAGAAGAAGAACACTGACCACATCAAGCTGTTTCAACACACAGGTGAGGCTAAACACATGGACACACCAACACAAAGCACGACCTGACACGAAGAGAACCAGCACGACCTTTCCCGATCTCAGAGCTCCAGCCGCCAGCCTGGGTGAGGGGTTAGGGTCGCCCGAACCGACCGCCGGGGGGCTCGGAAAGGATCTCCGCATTTGACACACCCAAATGGATGGTTCCCCCAACAACTTGCTGATGATAGGTGCCGCCCTTCTTCCGTTCTTCGCTGGTGCTTCTTTTTGGACTTTCGATAGGTCGTGCTTGGGTACTCCAGTTAGAATGCATGACTCCTGCAGATACCTGAAATTGTATTTGATCTCTATGTTGGCACGAAGAGTCCATAGCTTGGAGGGTTGTTACACTCCAATCTTCGGCGTTGCCTTTCCGCTTTAGAGGTGTGAGTGTGGATCAACACAAAGGTCCGCCCGCATGCAGCCCATGCAGTGGTGTGTGTTGACCAACCTCCCAGCTACCGATGTAGGACGATGCCAGCTGGGTGGCCTGTGGCTCCAAGGGCTTCAGCCGCGAGAACTGCGAAGTGAAGATCTTCGACCTCCGAGGCCGTCGACCGGAGTTCGAAAGGAGGGGCCCCACGGGCTGAGAGAGGTGCCTGTCCAACTGTCGAACTGGGATAGTCGAACTAGGGCTCTTCGCACCCTATACCAGGTCTGACTGGACCTCCAAAACCACCCCGGGCATCCCGAGTTTCGTCCGCTTGTCCCGAGGAAAACGGTTCGGAAAACGCTTCGGTACGAGGCCCAAAACGGGTGCGACTGAGTCCAGCAGAGTTTTTTGTGATTTTGGCGGAGTGATTTGGGGGATGGTCGTCCGGTTCCTGAGTGGAGGTTCTGAGTGCTCCGAAGAGGTTCTGGTGGAGGTTTTGGTGGGTTTCGGCGTCCGAAACTCACGGGATGGGTGGTGGGGTCGACTTGGGTTGGTTTCGGTGGCGAGGTCGGACTTGCGCTGTGAACGAACTGCTCAGAGAGAAGCAATTGGCGCACGGTTTGGGTGTGTTTGAAACCGTCCCAAACAAGTCTCCTATCAGTTTGGGTCAGCAATGTCATGAATGTGGAATATGGGTATCATGGTCTGCATAGGTGACAGCTATAGTAACTGAAAATGACACAAGATGGGCTACTGTAATTGTTTTGATGTCATTATTTTAATGATGTGTTGCTTTTCCTCCCCTCAATCTCCACATCATGCTGAATTCCAAATGGAAGGCAGACTTCATCTCTTCTTTGCCTGGTAAATCTAAGATCCTGACCATGAGCCACACTGAAGTAAACGTCGCTTGCAGCTGAGTGAACAAGCCTTCTTGGCTGCACCATGCATGGTGCACCAGTAGGTGCAATCCATGTACCATCGATTGAAGAACCTAAGTGATTTGCTTCAGGTGATTTCTGGTGATTTCGGCTCCTGAAGTAAATCGAGAAGTCTCTGGGGGTCTCTTCTCCTCGAAGAAGACATTGACCCCCGTATTGACCCTCGCTCTGACCACGACAATCGGTCCCGCGTCGTGTTGGTGTTTGGCTATCCCGGTGTGTGTGTGTCACTCCCGGTTCCGGATACACATCACTCTAGACTGTCCTTGTCCTCTTTTTTTTTGCTGAGTACCTTTCATTAAATTCAGGATTGGCAGGGGGACAGAGCTCTTTGATGCTGAGTACCTGTCCAATCCACCTGCATCCGCCACTGATGTAATGGCCTTTATCCAGAGCGATTCTCATGTCTCGCTCGCAAACTGGAGGCAGAGTTCGTCGGCAGACTTGTCGGTTCTCTTTCCTTTTCACTACCGCTAGGAGCGAGTCTTCCGAGTGGCTCCCTAGAACAGGATGCTTTACTCTTCTTTTGTCTAACTTACCTAGAGCGATTCATCTGTCTCGCTCATTGCTTGGAGCTACTTCTACTTCCACCTACGGTATCGATTGCTTTTCAATCGAAGATTGGAAATACGCACTTGCCTGTGCTTTGGTTGGAAACTGTTGTTCAAGCTGTTACCCCAATCTGCTGTAAACGGCTGGCGCGTTTTGTTGAGGCACTTCAACTTAGCAGGCTCCTCGCCTTACCGTTTTGCAGCCAAGGTCTACTTTGCTGTCTTGTAAAGCGCTACCTTTCAGATCGGTGAGCACCGTCGTCCAAAAAAAGAGGTATCGAAAAAGGGGCTTGGTATATACCTAGCACTTCCAACGGGTGCCCAATGGAGACCTGTAAGATCCTGTAAGTATAGGGTAGGGTAGTCTAGCCAGGACACCCATTGGATGATCCTGGTATGCTACGCAGTCACGTTGTGTGTGTGCGCGTGTTTGGGACGCCCACCTCTCGGCGCGGGCACCGAACGCTCGACGGCACTTCGCTACGCTCGTCACAGGTTCGCTGCAGCAACAGGCAGCCGTGGCATGTGCAGATCAGACCATCGAGGCCTCATGTGATGGCATTGTACTTAAACCCTATAGGGCTCCAGTCGTACCTTCGTTTCGAAGGTGGGACTGGGGTGGGTGCCAGGAGGGTCCAGATACCTTCTGAGGAGGTACTTGGAGCCCTAGGGAAAGTAATGATTGGATATGATTGGGTGATTTTCTGTCCACAAAAGCAGATTCTGTACGGCATTATACTGTGTTTTGATATACTCCACGGTCTGCATGGTCTTTTGCAAGAAACGGTACAATGTGTGTGTATGTGTGTGTGTTTTTTGTGTTGTTGTTTAATCGCGTTCTTTTTGTAGGAAGACTAAGGGCAGGCGTCAAAGTGCAACTGAAAGTGAGGAGGTGCTGTAAGTTTGCCTGCGCGTCAAGTAATGTCAGGGAGTTGCAGATTTCATTGGTTTTCTTTTTACAGATGGCCGGATGGTTCCACTTTCCCGGATTCCTATGGATTCTAACAGTGGATGCGTCGAGTCCCGGTGCACCGGTGCGTCCGCCTCGGCGTAGGCGCTGCAGTGCCACGGCGACCAGTGCTTCATTGCCAGTAAGGCACGGGAGACACAAAGCAGTGGAACCCAGGTGAGGGGTCACCTGCAGGGAAGGTGGCCGGCCTATTTAAAGAACCAAAAAGCATGTCCATAATGGATCCACATACCGAACCTGAGAAGGTGATTGGATACTTTTGGATACTGTGTTGGTTTCAGGAGGGCCCACTCATACCTTGTGAGAAGGTATGTGGAACCCTATAGGGATGTCAAAACCCATTTTTCCTACACTTTTACAAAGGCACCAGGAGTGTCCAGTCTTACCGAACTGAGAAGGTATGTGGATCCTCAGTGGAAGGATGTTAACAGGATGTACCTGGCCCCGATGTCGTTCATGCCCCAGAAAGTGAGCCATCATTCATTCATATTCATTCATTCATCATTCATTCATATTCATATTCATTCATATTGCAGTCATATGCATTCCCAATAAACTGAAACCCAAGATTTTCGACTGACTGCATTTGACTGTATTTGACTATCGGAGGGTCAACCTCCAGGTGGACCAACGGGGAGCGTGCGGGATCCAGAAGATCCTTCAGTTCCTTCGGCGAGTCCACACGTCCCGCGTCCACACGACGAGTCCCGCGAGTCGCGAGTTCGGTGGAAACACAGCGAGTTCACGCCGAAGAGGAGGAATGTGGGAGCCCATGTGTGTGTGTGTGTGTTGTGCCAAAAAGACACATGCTGCTGTGCTATGATGCTATGCTATCCCTCTCCCGAACACGGAGGTCGGCCACTGGCCCAGCAAAAGCCAAAGTCCCACTGAGTCTGATCCGTTCCCATCCCAAAACCGTCCCAAAACCGGGCCTTTCTCGGTGTTTCGGTTTTCCGCCGCTTCGCTTCAGGATGGCCACTTGCGCTCCTTGGAGCTCCCGGAGCCACGGGCCCCTTGGAACGGTTGGTCGTTTAGACCGTGGAGGTGGACGAAATCGGTGCAGTTCGAAAGCGGGTCGTGAAAAGCTCGGTGGGTCAAACAGTTGGGGAAGCAGTTCTTCGTGAAATCCAACAGTTTGGCGGCCTGGAACCGGCGTTTTTGGGTCTCCTTCTTCTTTTTTTCAACCGTTTTGGTGGTCCCTTCTTTTTTGAACGGGACTGGAAGTGACTTCCGAAGGATGGGCATCGATAGATGGAAGAGCTGATGGAATCGGGTTCACCCAAAATTGGTACGTGGAGCCAACATGGGGAGGCCAGACCTCCATGAAGGGTCAGACCTCCATGTGCCGGGTGCGCACCTTTTTTGGCCGGCATGATTTAGTCAAGGAATAGGGATGGCCATGCCAGAATTAACCTTTCAAGCATCAACAATCCCAGACAATCCATGTATGGAATATGTTACCTACTGTACACATCATTGACACCTTAAAACATCATAAGATCACCCCCAATGCAGGCAAGTTTGGCTTGTTCATTCGGGACGACTCTCGTCCCCTCTAAGGGGTGTTTGCAGCCCCAAGCAAACTTACATCCCGCTAGATACCATCCTACTTATACTTGCCGGTCATAGAATCAGTTGGGTGGAAGCATGGGCGTGGCAGAGACCTAACAGTCAGGAGAACTCATCAACATAGGCGTTGCTTTTCTACATGTGCATGCTGTTGATGGTCTGGACAATAAAAAAACAGGCCAACCATATCAACATATATCAACATAGGTTCTTTTGGTGGTGTACTGTGGGCGCGTTGGACAGGGCTGGACAGCGCATGCATGTCTTCAGGTCCAGTGGGAACGCCGTGGGCATGCTGCGTACACCGCGCTAGGGAACCCAGTGCTGTGAACGGTGCGATCATCCGATCATCCCACATCCCAGTCAGTCATTGTACATGGACCCTCAGTTCGTAGTGCCCAAAAAACCATGGTACAAGTACCTGACATGTAACAGGGCCATGTCCGGGTACTTGAACTCGGATCTACTGATGCAAAAAAACACCGAAATTCGACCGGCCGTGTCCTGACGGCTTGGGGTGGGGATGGCAATTGGGCATGGCCCCGGAGACTTGGATGCTCTTCCCAAATACCCTACAGATCTAGTCGTACATTCTCAGGTTCGGTACGACTGGACCCGAACAGCTAGCACCGATGCTGGCGTCTCCTTCCTCGGAGGTTAGGTACGAGCTGAGTGAGATCACCGGTGACCGGTCCGAACCGAGCTCCGGTGGTCCCGGGACGTCCGGAGCCGGGGTGGCTGGGGCGTTTGGAGTCCTGTTCACCAAAGCCTGGTGTTGTGGACCGGGTGCTGGATCCTTACAGAAACACAGGTTTTTTCAGGTGCTACAGATCCGAGATGTGTTTGATGTGCCGTTGGCATGCTTGTCATTGGATTTAGGGTGGGTTCAAACGCCAATAGTATACACTCCAGTCTCAGTCTCACGGGGTGTTTGTTTTCTTGGTTCTTCTATGTTCTTCCACTTCAGGAATTGGATTTAATTTTCCAGGAGCATCCTGTCTAGGTCTAGGTGTCCTGTCCTGTCAGATCTTTCTTCGTCGTAGTGTAGGGTAGTCCAGCCAGGACACCCAGGTCCAGGATGCTCTTGGTTGGTTCTTCTTTTTTCTTTTCTGCCGTGTTTCATGCCGAGGCTCGGCCTGGCTGCTGGAGCTCTGCTTGCAGCCTCTGCCGGGCCGCAGGGTTTGGCACTGGAGCTCTTCGTTTGGCACTCAGACGGGCCCAATAGCGATCCACGAGAATTGGGGGGTGAAGGGCGGAAATTTTAGGATGAACGTGCAAACAGTTCAAACCAGAAGACATGATATTCTTCAGTGGTACGCCAGGCTGTGCCGGACCTGACTGTCCGGACACATCTCGACATGAAGTGCCAGGCAAATGACGTTCTTCTCCTCGCCCTCGGAGTGGACACCTCCCTCGCGTCCGCGCCTGTGAGGCCCTGGATGAGGAGCCGAAGCTCTTGAAGAGCAGCGAAGAGACGTGAAGCAAAAGAGTCGCAGACACCACGCGCATGTGTTTTTGGGTGATCGAGGTCGCATGGAGCTAGGCAATATAAAACGACGTCACCGACGTCACCTGAAATTAACGAGCAAGCTGAAATTAAGGTATATGGTCATACTAACATCACACACACACACACGCAAAACACACACACATACACTTCATCGACTTCACAGTCCTGGCAGAGATTTTGGAGGCGCGGGCGGGCGTGGGCACTGGATCTAGGACTGGATTTGCATGGGGAAGAGGATGTCAGTCAGTTGGAGTTTTGCTTGAGTTTTCGGGCTCGAGTTTGCAAAAAAATAAGAAGTCATGCCTCACCTGCTCACTCTCCACACCACTAAAAAACACTGCCCAATTTCGAGGTCGGGAAGTTTTGAAGTTCTTTTAGTTGTGCCCCCCATGAAGCGGCCCTCCAGCCATGATGAGTGCCCAACAACACCTACGGACCGCGTTCGGCCAAGCGTGTTCCCTAGCCCCAAAGCCTCTCAGAGACGGACCATTCAGCCAGATCTTGTGGACAGAAAAGATCCTTGGAACTTGAAGTAGTGATGGTTTGGTTGTTTTCCCTTTCACGCCCAACCTGACTGGTTCTTTCCTGGCCAAATCGTTTTTGGGCCTAGTTCGCCGAACTAGGATTTGAGGCAGGGCGGCCTTGAAAGTGGATTGTTGGGGCTTTATTAGGTTGTAGCTCGGCAAACTACGCTGGGAAAAATTGGTTTTGGCTAGCTTT